CAAGCAAAGCAAAGCAAGGAATTCATTCACTACTTCCCATCGGCAGGCAGGTGTTCAGCCATCTCCAGGAAAGCAGGGCGCCATCATGCATAACGGTTACTTGGGAAGACAAATGCCATCACACCAAACGTCCCCCCTTTCCTTCTTCTTCCCCCAGTTTATATGCTGAGCATGACGCCATATGGTGTGGCATAGCCCTTTGGCCAGTCGGGGTCAGCTGTCCTGGCTGTGCTCCCTCCCAGCTTCTTGTGCACCTGGCAGAGCATGGGAAGCTGAAAAGTCCTTGACTGGTGTAAGCACTACTTAGCAATAACTAAACCATCAGTGTGTTATCAACATTATTCTCACATGAAATCCAAAGCACAGCACTGTACCAGCTACTAGGAAGAACATTAACTCTATCCCAGCTGAAACCAGGACAACATCCAACATCTGTGTGGAGCTGCACTCAGGACATGAACATGACCTGTGAGTTTCACCGCCATCATGGCAGCCAAGAGCCTCCCCTCATGGTGGTTTTAAGGCACTGGAGGTGGGGTTGCTGGAGACATGAGGGAGGAAAGCAGGGGGTTCAACACTGAGCTCTCTCTGGCTTGGGACGTGGCAGCTGGGGAGGAAGGTAAGCAACACCTTCTGGAAGCTGGCCCCACCACCAGCCTTGCCGTACAGTTGAAGAGGGGAGGCATCATTTTGGACTTATTTATACAGCACTTCACCCAACTGTTTAGACAACCCAATTCCAATGAGAGTTTTCATGGCTAAGAATTAACTAAGAATGAAATAAGCTCCAGTAGCATTGTTCTGTCTTGTTGAGAAGAGCTCTAAAGAGGAAAGGTCCATTATCTTTTTTTCTAGTAGTCTTGCCAAAGCAGCTTGGTGTTTTTTCTTGCGATCAAGATTATGGATATCAGGAAATGCTGGTGACGCTTGATAGCAACACGTTGTTTATGCTTTACTCCTTTCTACTACAGTATTGTGCTCTCTTTGGGAAGAAAGAAATAGAACCTGCTCTGCCCTTAGGGGGAACAACATCGGCCAAAGAAGAGAATGTTCTTGCTCGGATTGTGTTTGATCAAGAAGAGGAACGGGTGGTCAGTTCTGAACTCATCTGGAATGTGGAGGCACAACGGTATTATAGTCACCCCTGTAGCAACAGCTGCCTCAGTACCTTCTTCATTAACTTCCACAAAGGACTTGTGAATGGCCTTAGAGAGGAACAGCCCAGGCTTTCTTGACAGTCCAGAGAAATCAGCTTGTTGAAGGACGAAGGCATTCCTCATCCCCAGAGCCTGCAGTACTGGCATGAGCTCATAGCTCTCCTCCATTCTGAACTGGGGCAAGTATACTGTGATTTTTCGTGGATACACATTCTCCATGTTGGTCCATTCTGCTAATTTCTCATAGGTGACAGAACTCTCTAGCTGCAAGCAGAAAACACAGGGCATCACGGTCATGAGAAACTAGATCAAAATGCTCACAGGAACATTTTCCTTTAAGGAAAAGCCTGGTTTTCATGACAAAGACAGAACCTGTGCCCTACAGTTACTGAGTGTGAAATCTGGCAAATTCAGATCCAGTCTTCTCAGAGGGATCCTTCTCATTTGTTCAGATTTTTACCAGACACCAATACAGTATCGTGTCTTGATACTTTTGCAAGGAAGAAGTAAGTTCCCTTTGCTAGTGCTACATTTTGTCCACTGAAATAGGCATTAACTCCCTTAGAAAGGCTATGAAGTGTTGCTTTTGAGTAGGTTTTCTTAGTCTTTCTCTGCTCTTCTGAAGCAATCTAAAAAAATCATTAATCTCTCTGATCTTTACACAGGCTACCGCATTCCTCCTCTGTAAAGAAAGATAAAACCCATAACAACAAAAGATACAAGCTTGGCCTGCATGGCTGGGAAGCACCTTGTTTAAGTACTGGATGGACAGGTATTTTCTCCTCCCAGGAGCAGAGACAGGAGTGTTACCTGTTCAAGGCCAGTAGACTCATCACAGATGTTTTCTGGCAGAAGAATGAACATGCTGAGCTCTTCTCCAGTGTACGGGAGCTCCAGCACTGTCATTTGCTCTTCTTGTCTCCTGGCTAATTTATATTTTCCTGTCTGACACATCATCGGTACATTCCTGTGCTCTCTCTAAAATTCAGAAAGTCAATCAATAGTCAGAAAAACCCAGGCAAAATAAAGCAGGTAATAAACCCCACAGGATCAAGCTGCTTGAAATTTCTTGCTCATTTTCCATGAACACTCCTCAAACCACTATATATTTTTGCTGAGGGCATTGGCAAAGGCTCGAGCGCTGTGAAAGCCATAACAGTTGCTCTAAGGGCTTCTCGTCCTCTGCACTGTCGTTTGTACTGCTCCTATAACTCTTTCCTAAAGATATCTAACTATTTCCTAAAGGATAATGCCAACTTCCACTACAGCCCCCAGGAAAGGCCGATGTGCGCTCAGCAAAGTCTCCTCTATAACTTAGCCTCTCCAAGGAGGTACCAAAGCTTGCCTTCACATGACCTCTGTTGAGGAGGCACTTGGGAAGAGGATGCTGCTTTCCCACTTCACGGGGTGAAGGCTCTTGGCTTGGATAAACTGGGCCCCCACACCCGAGCCAGGCAGAGACTTGCCCTGCAGACAGCAGAGCACAGGTTACCAGGACTTTTCCCACTTTCCCCTGCTCCCCACAGCTCTCATCCCAACTGTACCTTGTTCAGCCTGAAAGGCATTTCCCTGGTGTTTTTCTCCTCAAATTTTATAGCCCATTGCCCTTTGAAGTGTAGAGCGTTGACCAGAGCTAGCACCGTTGTGCAATCAATAGAGCCAGGAGGAAATAGATCTTTAATTTTCCCTTTAAAACAACAAACAAAGGTGAATTATGCTTTCATTTTGAGCATTGACTGAGGATGATCCCATTACTTCCTCACTTGGAAGAATTGTCCGTTCGCAGCAAGAATTGATCCGCAGCTTTAGCAGAGTCAAAGCTGCCAGGAGCTCGGGCCATTTTATGCCCCAAGCTGCTTTTACAGTAGCCACAAGCAAAATGAATCACTTCATAGCATTTCTGAATGTTGCTACACTCAGGAAAAGGAAGAAACTCAGACACCAGATATTGACTTCTCACACGGTCCTGGTGCACACTCCCCAGGCAGCCAAGCACAGGCCTTGTTCTTACCACCGGTTTGCTTTTCTACCCAGGAATTCATCTTCCCTCTGGACTCTTCAGCAGCATTAATGAAGTCCACCGCTTCCAGCTCTGCATGGTACAAGGCCCTTGTGGAGTCTAAGTATTGCTGCAAAACAGGGAAAAGAGGTGGCTCTCGCGGCAGTAATCAGGGAGCTACTTGCCCACAGGGAAAAATAGGAATCCAAGAAATGGATGCCAACCTGTAGGTCAGAGCTCTCTGTGGGGCTACTTGTTCCAGCATTAATGATGTCCTGCATATGCACTGTGACTCTTCAGGAGAGACTTTCTGGGCACGGGGAGGAGCCAAGCAACCAGTTCCTGGGACACCTTTCACATAAGAGAGTCCCAGCTCCATTGTCTTTTACTCTTGCTATTCTTTGTGAGGGCCTGTTTTGCTTTTTCACCACGACAACCATTTCAGCAAGATAGCTGTCGGGGAGGGCAGGGCACAACCCTGCCAGCCTGGCCATCACCCATGGCCCCCGCTCCCTTGTCCTTGAGGAGCAGCTTCCCCGCTGCTGCACCCTGGCCCTGGTTGCAAGCTGGCCCTCACTTCTCATCCCACTGTATGTGGAGCCCCATTCACTTCAAAGAGCCAGCAAATGAAAAAAAAAAACATGCAAAGACTTCATCTCCCCCATTGTGCACAGCACAAACAAGCAGAAAGAACATTCTGGGACCAGGCCATTAAAGTCAGGTCTCAGTATATATATGTGTGTATATACTGAGAGAAAGAGAAAAACGATGTGAACTCTTTCCCCAGGATTCCAGTTTGCAGCCTGGGCAGACTGGATTTTTTCCCTTGTCTGGAATGATAATTTCTGTGGAAATGCTCTGCACTGCACTACTTCCCAAAGATGCAAATGTGCTGCAGCATTTTAAAAAATGTAGATGAAGGGTGGTGATTCCATCTATATCAAAGCATGAAGAAACATAATTTCAGTGAAAATTGCTACCCAGGGCTTTCAAAAGTATTCTTATCTCCTCCTCAGGAAATGCAGGCCCTTTTCCTTGACTTTGCACAAAGCCTATTTAATCTCATATGTTGCTCTCTTTATACTCTGCTCACTCTGTGTTTCATCCATCTGAGAGAGCTTGCTTTTCTGTCACAACAGCAGCAATACAGAAACATGAAAATTGATGTCCTTAGCAGAAGTTCAAAATGTAGTACAAAAGTTTTTCAAAACCACAAAACCTATAAACAGTTGTCACTTACCTGAAGGAACTGAAAAGTCACTTCTCCAAAGAGCCTGTTGGCAATGCTGAGGGAACACGTGGCACCAGCTTTGCCAAGGGCAGACAGAAGCTCCTGGAACTGAGAATGGGCTCCTCTGGCTTCTTCACACTGCAAGCAGCAGGGGAAAGATTTCTTTAGCAAGATGCTCTGCCCTGGAGCTCCACCCATGTACCCTCAGGCTGAAATCAGGGACTCTCCCCAAATGCACTTGTGGGACCAAGGGGCATGCAAAGACCCACAAACCACAAACACGTCTGGGCTTCCTGACCATCCAAAGTCACGCACTTGTCTCCCTCCCCTTCTGTAATTTCCACCTTGAAAAAGGTTCGTCCTGTTTAAATTTGGCAACACTTTACACAGCAAAGCAATGAGGTCTCTCCTGCACGTGCACACAGGTTTCAGTTTGATGAGAACAGGGCTGAGCTCTGCTCTTACCATGCTTTTGGATGAAGTGCTGCCATTTAGCAGGTAAGTCTGCCTTGCCCTGCTTCACTTCATGTGAAGTTCAATGTTTTCACACAGTTCAGATACTATCTTACCTTTCCAGTGGTGCTCTTGGTTCCTGGACTTGCCATGCTCACCACCTCATGAATATGAAGCACCTGAAATATAAATGCAGTATAAATCTCTGTAAATAGATTAATGAAGACACAAAGAACACATTGAGGCTGCACTGGAGCCTCACAGGCACCACAAGTCTGATGAGTGTGTTTGGAAAGCAGAGCTTTGAGACCTGTAGCTGCCACCTCTTTCAGTTTGCTGTTTGTGAAGAACATGGCCTGGACTGCCAGAAGGCTCATGCCTCTTTTCCATTTCCAAATGAAAGCCTTTAATAGCAGTTAAGTGGTTGAGTCTCCATCCCTAGAGGTATTTAAAGAACAGATAGATGTGGTGCTTGAGGACAAGGTATAGTGATGGACTTGGCAGTGATAGGTTAACGGTTGGACTCGATGATCATAAGGGTCTTTTCCAACCTTAACAGTTCTATGATTCTATGATTCCCAAGAAAAGGGAAAGAAACTCACTTTTTCCATCTCTTCGGCCGTGTTGCCTCCGGCACCCAGCTGGACCATGCTCAGGGCAGCTGAGATGCTCAGTGGGGAGAAGAAGATATTTTCATTTCTTTTTACTTTGCTCAGCTCTTTGAAGAAGTCCAGGCAGAACTTGGTGTTTGCTGCACTGAGGGAGCCCATTGTGGTATGGCCAAGCCTACAACAGAACTATGTAATCCATCTCACAAACATTGCCATGGTCAGAGCACACAGTGGGGAGAGAATTGGAAATGCAGAGCCTTTCTCAGGAAACTCAGCACCTAAAGCACCGACTTGCTCCCGGGAGAAGTTTCAGACCACACTTAGCACTTCATAGGAAATTGCACCCCAAACCCAGACCCAAACTACCACCTCTGGGCAAATCACCCCTTTAGTCATACTCTTGCTCTTCCCCTGTCTGCTCAAGCTAGGTCCACACTTGCTTTCATGCCCTCAAGTTTTTTCCTAAAGGCTGTACACTATTGTCCTGGTTTCAGCTGGGATAGAGTTAATGTTCTTCCTAGTAGCTGGTACAGTGCTGTGCTTTGGATTTCATGTGAGAATAATGTTGATAACACACTGATGGTTTAGTTATTGCTAAGTAGTGCTTACACCAGTCAAGGACTTTTCAGCTTCCCATGCTCTGCCAGGTGCACAAGAAGCTGGGAGGGAGCACAGCCAGGACAGCTGACCCCGACTGGCCAAAGGGCTATGCCACACCATATGGCGTCATGCTCAGCATATAAAGCTGGGGGAAGAAGAAGGAAAGGGGGGACGTTTGGTGTGATGGCATTTGTCTTCCCAAGTAACCGTTATGCATGATGGCGCCCTGCTTTCCTGGAGATGGCTGAACACCTGCCTGCCGAAAAAATCTTCCGATTCTGTCCCCGATCCCACTGGGGGGGGCGGGGTGAGTGAGCAGCTGCGTGGTGCTTAGTTGCTGGCTGGGGTTAAACCTCGACAACTATGTAAATATGGTCACGTAGTCAACATCCTGTTTTTCTTGCAAGAACTGCTACGTGGTTTAGAAGCATTGGTCAGCCTTCAGACACTGTGCTTCACTGAAGTATAAAAACTTTTTTTGTTTGTATATTGTGTAAAACACAAAACATATTGTATGAAAACAACCAACAGAGAGACCAGCGAATTGGATTGCCAAGTCATAGCCAAATAACAATGTGGAAAGGCCTCCCTCTACCTCCTGAATTTGAGGTAGGAAGTTCATACCTGTCCCAGCACTTCCAAGATAACTGCCTTGCCATTTATCTCCTTTTGCCTTTTAAGGGAATTACCAAATTCCCTCCTGCTGTTGAGCGAGCTTGTTCACTCAAGCAAAGAATTTGGCTACATACTTCCTACCTCCTGGGACTGTCACATCCATGAAGTGCGGCAGTCAGCCCTGTAGGCAGAAACACGGCAGCCTGCCTCTGTGCATGGCTGCATTGCACTTTGCTCCCCGCCAGCTTCTGTTTCCAGTACTATTGCTACCCTGAGGAAAGCTAAAGCTGAGAAAATTACCTTCTCCCGGGAACAGCTGACGCTGACAGCTTCTTTGCTGATGGACGGCGGTGTCCTGCCCCATCTTAAATCGAAACCAACCACTGTGTAGTCTGGGTCCCTGCCCAGTTTATTTCTGAAGAAGAAGCGTGCCTGGGGAACCACGGGCCAACAGACAGAGTACCAGAAGAATGGCTTTTCACTTCCCGCAGCAAAGTGAGAGACACAATCTAGTCTCTTCTGGTTTTCACTCTCTGAAACAAGTAGTCAAAGAAGGAAATTTATCTTTTTCCCCTCCCAGAGGGGGGGACCCTGTTGATGCTGCTGCATCTCATTAGCTTGCTCTGCTGAATCGCCTCAAAGACGGGGCAAGCATCTGCAGAAAGCATACAGTAACAGGAAGAAGGAAACAAATCAGAAAATAAGAGTCTGATAGGCAGCGTTCAGAGAGGCAACTCTCCCTGAAGTACTTTCATGCATCTGATTGATAACCTCTGTCTCATGGGGAGCCCTGATAGTCCTGCAGCACATGATAGAGCTGGGCCCATAACCACAACATGTTATTTCTTCTTTAACCCAGGCCTTCCCGGAGAGGTGCAATGATCCAGACTGTGCCCCAGCAGCTTCTCTGCCTGAGGGCTATGCTTAGCTGGGGCTGCCTCAGCATGGGCACTTTGTTTGTCTCAGGGATTTCAGCACAGTTTTCTGTGTCAGCAAGAGCCAGAGAGTGGAGGGAGCACATGGTCGCCTTCAGCAGCACGTCCCAACCTGAGTTTTGAGCATGTCCCGGACTGTGGGTCAGGAGGTGGCAGGCCTAACCAGGTGCTACAGGACCTGGTCCAGAGGGCGGCAGGAGTCCCAGTTACACAGCTTTGGGAACAGATCCTGGTACCAGGATGATCCCATATGGCAAAAATTTTAGGGAACAGGCTTTTTTCATTGACCTCATGCAAGAAAAAGGCAAGACGAGGTGAAGTGAAGGCACCACCAGCCCTGCTTAGAAGAGCTCAGTATGGCCAGCCCTGCTGATCATGTGCAAGGAAGAGCACTGAGCTGGAGCAGCTCCTTCATTCAGACTGGTGCTTCTTGCCCCTCCAAGGCTGGATGTGGATTTTCCCCATGGCACCACAGAGAGTTAGATACTGCAGTGGGAGCACTTTCAGCTGAGGTGCTCAGCTCTGAATATCTGCTGCTGTACTGCAGCTATGGATCAGGTTTCCTAACCCCTAGGTCTAGCCATGTGTTTCAGCAGAACTGTGTGGGGAGCTTGAGGCATCGATGGTTTTGGCTTGAAATGCATGAGGGGCTCATGAGGCTTTTGTTGAGCTCCGTGGTCACTGTCAGTCTGTACCTCTGGGTGGCATGCACAAAACTACAAGCAAAAAAGGCAGCAAGGTGGATTTGCTCCTGTCCGGGGGCAGGGGAGATACACCAAAGGCCCATGGGTATGTCTTCCAGGATCCTTCATAGTCATCATCATTCATGAACAAGGAAACGCGCACCACACTGCCAAAGCACTTACTCGTCTTTTGACCCTGGAGGCTGTTCTGCTTCACAAGCAGCAGTCAGCTTTTTCACAATGTTTCCCCGTGGTGTCTCAAGGCTGGTTGTGGGCTGAGCACTGTGTTTATTTTAGGCCAACAGGCACTGTGGTCGGCACTGCTCCGGGCAGAATATTGTATTTCTCACAGAAGACCAGCAGCTGACTCTGTTGAGCAAAACGTAGCTAAGCCCCCATATAGATATCACATGATGATTGCATGAACATAATCTGAAAATATGTTTTGGGGGACTTTCCCCTATTATGACACTCGAGATTGAGAAAGCCTTTCCCCTCAGTGGTCACCCCTGTACCATTTAGCAGGTAATTTCTCTCTTGGCAGGCTGAGGGCTGTGGAAAAGGCAGGACTGGTCATTGCTGGTCTGTGTTTGGGACTGCTTCATGCTGACAGATTGCAGGGGAGAGAAGTGACAGGCAGCAGAGCGGGCTGCGGTGGGGGTCTCTTGGAAAAGGAGCTGTCAGGGGCGTGAGCAAAGGCAGAGCTGCAGCTGGTGCTGCAAGGTTGCAGGCTGCAACGAGTGCTGTGCCAAAAGCTAGCTGCCTCGCGAGGCGGTGCGCCAGAAAAGAAGCCATCCTTCAGGATATGCAGTAGAGGTCCTCCAGTAGTGCTTTTCCAGCGTGTTTAATACTGTCAGTAAGTGTGTGGAAAGGCTGGATCTTGTTTCCAAACTGTAGCAGTCACGTGAGGCAGTAATCCGAAACAATCTTGGCGCTGTGCAGGAGGCAGTGCTCTTATACAAAAGCTGTGATGTTGTTATCCTAAATGCAGGGTCATTAGCCCGGTGTGCAGACACCAATTAACACACAGAGCCGAGGTATTTTATTCCCTTCATATTTGCACAAAGATGGGTGCCAGGTGGCAGTTCCGCAAATCTAGCACACCTTCATACAAAACTACAGCATATTTATCCTGCTACGTGATTAGTATAAACCGGCCCAAATTTACAGTTATTAGTGATTAACATTTCATACACTATTGGTTTACTGTATTTAAATTAGCCTCGCTTGCTGTGCAGATTAGCACGTGTGCTCCTTTCAGGTGGGGGCGGCAAGTATTTTTGGTCCTGAATTGAGTCAGTGGTCACGATCTTCCCTCGCTGCATTTACCTCTCACCCAGTTACTACAGTTTTATCCTTTCCCAGAGCACAGGTGGTTTGTAGTTTTTCTCAGCAGAAAATTTTCACTTTCTGCAGAATATCAACACACCATCTCATAATTAAGAATATATAATTTCATGCCTGAGGATTCAGATGAAAAAGCTGCGCAGCAGCACCCTCTGAAGAGCTGAAAGGAAGCTCACAATTGAATTACTTTATTCACTGTTTTCTTTTCTAGGCAGATATTAAGAAATTGAGAAAAAAAAATCATGCTATCAGAAAGATATAGACCAAAATAGTTCTATATCATTATTGTTAGGATACTCACCCACATATAGATACTTTTTTTCTGTGTTACTGGATTGAAACAATAGTCCTGGGAGCAGAGACTGGAAACCAGAACTCATCTACAGCACAGTTATTGAACTGCGAAGTTATCAGTCCATGACTTCTCTTCTTGTGCCATTAAGCTGCATTCATTCGAGTAAGGCCTTCAAAAGGAAGGTGGGCCATTTTCCCACCCAGCCTACGCTACATCCTGGTGCTTGGTGCATTCTCCTGGGATACACAGGCTTGAATTCCAGCGAGGGTATGGGATACACTGAAGACAGGCCCTTCACCTCCTGAGCCACATGAATTTCTCCACTACGGAAGTTATGTACCATTTTCACTTAAAAAAATTAAGTCACTCTAACGGCATTTTCAGGAAGCCCTATGTGAATAGCTTGCACAAGGTCTGCTTTGAATGCATTCACTAGATGTTCTCCAGGGACTTGCGCCTCATTCCACCTCATTCCTGAATTTCAGCATGGGCAAAGCACTTCATTGCTCATGTCAAGGCAGTTCAGGGCAAGCAAAGAAAAATGCTAGCTGCTAGAGAATTTACAAAAGCTGAAAATAAAATGCTTACAAATTTTGGATATTTCCACATGCATAGGAAAAGAGAATTTTTCTTTCAGATGGCTTTTTGGATGTACATGCTTAAAGCCAGCCTATGTTCTGTTTA